TCTGAATTTCTGAATATCAACCCAATTTACCTCAAGTTTGGGTGATAAAACAGCCCTGGCTAACTGAATGGGGGGGGGGGGGAAAAGGAAAACCAAACTATATCTGCCTCAAGCAAACTTTTTCACTCCCTTATCCATTGCACCATTTCTAAAAGGCTTCATATTGAAGGATACCAAAAGGAGTGGTATCAACATTGCCTCAAACTCAAAATATGTTCAAGTCTTTTCCCCAGACCTCATATGGGGCATTTTAAATTATTTATTTCCCATCAGTTTTCATTGTTTGGTTTCCAGACTGAGAGAGGCTGTCTGCTCTGACTGGCAGGGATTGAACAGAAAGCTTTTCAGCTGTGACAGGGAGGGCTTGAAACAGGCTTTGAGTTAAGTTTGCAGAGCAAAGCCAGAGGACATCAGACTTCCTTGTCCAGACTTGGCTTAACAGCTAACAACCAAAATTTACTGCAGCCAAATGCCAAACCTCCATATTCAATTAAGCCCCAAGAATACCAGAGAATGAACCATCTCTTCCTCAGATCTTCTCCATATTCACCATTTCTCAAGCAGCTCTGAGCCATGCAGGGCAAGGAGCTGCAGGCACAAAAGTCCTCTTCGGTACATGAAGAAACAGTACTTAATTTTCCCTGAAATATTTTTTGTCCAGTTCTTATTCAACAATTCCTGTGTGGTGCCAGGACTTCTAGGCACAACCTCACCTCTCAATTTACTTTGTTTACATTATTCTTTGACTTTAATAAAGTTCTTGTGAGATCCCCATGGGACTGTGCTAACCCAACACTCAAGACAAAGGGCAGCTCCACCTCATACTTGCTGGCAGCAGGACTGGACAAAAACATGGTATGGCATAGACACTGCTAGTTTCAACAGATCACGGCTCAAACGGTAACACAGATCACTGCTAAAAACCTCCATTGCTAAAGGTAATCCCTGCACATTTCACAGACACCGGTGTTTTCAGTGGCAAGGGACTTGGTGACACCACCTCAAAAGCATGAATGTCTGTATGCCATGGGCTATGCACACAAAAACCAAGATATTTTTCAAGTGTTGCGAAGCAATATCTAATTCTGCCTTAAATCTGTCTTTGCCCAAAAGAGTGGCAAAGGACCAATTCAGTCCAAAATATCCACACGGAAGGGGCTTGATCTAGTTGCCTAAATAAAGGTGTCTAGTCTCCTTGCCACAAACCTGTCCATCGGTTCCCACTGACATCAGTGTTTCGGCTGCAAAGGACACAAATAACTGAAGTTGCAAGTTCTACTAGTCTGACCATATTCCACTCTGCCTAAATAATCATCTTACCATCCTTCTGGTCTTGTTTTTGAGTATGTTGTGCAAAACACCTAACATGCCGCTGAAATGCATTCACCTACTGCTCAAAGCATTGCAACATTTGGAGGCAGATAAAGGACATTACTAAAATAACACTTTCTGCTGTGTGGAAGCCAGGCTTGCCTTTAGGATGGGTGAACTAGCCTACAGATTTGAAATGCTCTTGACAGGAAAACGAAAGGCGTTAGTAACATGTACTTCCTTCCATGCTCACTCCAGAGCAGGACCAGGTCATTGGAGAAGACTAAAAGACTTACCTACATGTCTGTTCTGGTGTGGTTTTCTCCTCTCTTTTTTACAGGAATAGTACAGAAGAGTGAGTCTGAGCAAGACAAAAAGCTTCACTTTGAAATGAGTGCACTCTGCAGGTCCCTGGAGGGTACCCCAAGAGTCCTACAAAGACCAGCCAGGTCCAGGGAGGCTCCTGTTTAGCCTGTAGCCCAACAGCCACGTCAGCCAACCTCCAGCCTCTATTGTTACTGGAGTCACTGGGGAGAAAACAGATTTTCACTTATGTGTGAGATAGATGGTAGATCCTTTCCAGCAGGTCTAAGTTGAGTTTGGAGGGCAGGAGTACCTCAGAGCTTCATAGACCTGCTCCCAGGGTGCAGCCTGACAGTTCCTACTGCAAGAGTCAAACACAATGCTGCTCAGCAGGGTCACTTGGAGTTCAGTGAACACAAAGGTCGTAAGAGAAGACCTAACACTCAAAGTGACACAAACAGCCTGCTCTTTTAAGAAACAAGAGAGCAGACTCATAACCCCTCACTGGGATGCAGCCGTCAGCAGGTGACACTGACCCAGGTAACATTAGCAGGAAGTTACAGAAGTGGTTTCTCTTCTTCAAACAGCTTCATGGCAAAGCTGCACACAGAACTTACTAAGCCATTGAAAACCAGTTCTATCCTCAGTTCTTGCCTGCAGTGACCTTGTGCAAGTCCTGTTGCCTGATCTGTACAATGCATGAATCTCAACCTGCGGTGATGTGTCTTCTGGAACCCCCTTAGTTCACTTTGTCAACATTAGCCCAAAGAGGACATAAAAAGAAATGAGACCATCAAAAACACTTTCCACCACCTAGGAGCATCCTAGCTGCCCTCAAATTATGACATCTGGATGTGGAGAATGGATTGTGCATGCCCAGAAATTACTGGCCAATGGGCAACTGAGAAGTGCAACTTTGATAAAAGCAAGAGGACGGAGTGGTGTCTCTTCTACTTGCTTCCCAAAGCTGTGCTTCCCCTCTCCTCCCACCAAGTCCCAATCCCTGTTTAAATGAGAATGCTCCATGCAATGGGATGGGATCCCCATATAACCCTCCTGTGACATGGTACTCCCTCTCCAATGCTGGACCAGCCAGGAGGTCAGTGGGGCAGGTGGCTTGGGATCAACAGGGCAGAGCAGAGCTAGTTCCTTTGTCACTTCACCTATGATGCCTGTTCCTAACAATTTTACCTCATTGGGATGTTTCTTCATTGAGTGCTCGACATTGAGACCCGTGGGAAGATTTGAACTCCAAAAAGATAAAAAGCAACATGTAAATAATGGTCTGCTCGATATTAATTTCTTGGGTATTTAGGAGGTAAAAAAAAAATAAGGCCAATTAACCCAATTTGCAGTATTAGGTCTTTCATAAGCACTTTAACTCAGTTCAAGTCAACTTGAGCCAGAAAAAGGATAAAAAGGAATAAGCCCATTAAAAGACCTGTAGCTAGCCAAAGGGAAGGTGTTAGTGGCCTCTAAACAGCCAGTTAATGGCTAGATCTGCTCTGAGACAGTTCTCTTCCATCCTTTTATGGAGCAGAAATCAAAAATAGTTGTAAAAAGCAAAGGGCAACAAGGCCAAGATAAAGAGAGTGTGAGTAAACACTCATCACTGCAAAGTAATTCTTCAAAGCATACGTAAATGAATGGAGGATGAGCTGCCTGACTTCAGCACATCCACACTCAAGAGCTGGAGCACACAGGTGAGATCTTACTGCTTGTTAGGAGAACTCAATCACGTTGAAACCTCGCCCAATTCGGCCTATGGATCAGTCCACCTAAACAACCCAAACCAGCATCTTCATCTGTTACATTGCCAATGAATTTTGATCTGAGCTTAAGGATTTAAATATTCTTTTCAGCACCAGCCCATCTCCACACCGGAATCCTGCTTGCTGGTTTACAGCCATTACCACAACTGAGTAAATACAGCAACTTTGTTATCTCAGGGACTGTCTAGAGCTGCTCACAGTACAAACGCTCTAACTGCTGCGGCAGGATTAACCAGGAGGAGCCCTGGAGCAGGCAAATACACTGCCAAGCACTGTACTACAGCTCAACACCCAGACAGGTTGTGCTACACCCCTCTATGCGTACCTGGCAGCCAGGTCAGGGACTGCCTCACTGCCATTCCCAAGACTGCTCTCTAAGACACAACCAGAGGAACAAAACAGGCCATTTCTGTTGTGTTTAACTTAAAGTTAGCTAGAAAAACATGACTCAAAGTCAGCGGATCACAATTGTGTAATGGGCTGTGCTCTTTCCCCCAGGTCACCTTCTCTCATGCCAGATGCCTGCATTTTCTAGATATATCTAACTTCTCAGTGCAGAGATGGTCACTCATGACTTGCACATTTTTAACATGCCCCAGTTCCTGTGGTTCCTAATTCCCTTTCAGAAATTTTATCTGTCATTAGCACAGGGCAGAACTGTGGGAAGTGGTGCACCTCGGGCACTAGGGCAAAGAGTGATACACATAATACAAAAAGGCGATTGATAGTTTGATTGGAGGGTGGGGGGGGAGAGAGATGCATAAGTGGCACCATCACCCTGGATCCGCCACCACAAAATAACCCCCTGCAAGGCAGCATGCTGCAAAGGGGCAACTTCACAGACCTCAGCTGAGTTCCTGTGATACATGCACTGTAACAGAGGCAATTCCAGGTCTTTCCAGGTCTCCTGTGTACAGCAAGGTTAAAATGCAGTTAAAATGCACTTGGAGTCTTAACGTCCAAACTATAGACGTGGGAGATGATGGACATAAGCTCCATTTGTTTGTAAACTGGTATTTCTGAGGCACAATTCTTGCATCAAGACGAGACTACTCAACAGCGTGTCTTTGAGTTCAAAGCAGAAAGGATTCACCCAGCTCCCAGAAAACAGCACTGAAAATCCCCTGCTGCCAGAGTCCTTTTGCCTTGGTGCAGGAACATGGCTGCCCCTGCTCCATCAGGATCCAGTCTCTGGTTAGTTGCCTCCCCAGTCCCTTAATTCTCTTCTCTCCAGGAACCAGGGCGCAAGCCCTCAGTATTTCAGTGTCACCACCCCAATGCATTTACATAAGTGCAAGTGAGGGATGGAGGAGGGGGATATTCCTGCAGGCGAGAGTACAAGTTTTAGCTCAAGAGAGATATTTTTGACTGCTTCCGTGTTCCTGCTGTCCCCACATTACCCCCACTGTCTGTCCCTCCTTCCTGATCTGATACCTGAAAAAACCTCTGGTTTTCTCCCCTCACACAGGGGCTCTCCCCAGATCGGAGGATCTCAACATTGAGATAATAGGAGCACTGAACATTTTTGGTGCTTGCCTTTGCCCTCACCCCACAGCAGAGACTCATGTCTCTCCCTACTGCTTTCTTTTACTCTAGGCCTTGTCTTGACCCTCTAGCACTGACTTTACTGCTTGCAGCTGTAGACCACCTCTTCCTGCATGCACTGTTGGCACTCAACATAGCAACACCACTGCACCTGACAGTGGCAAGAGAAGGTAACCAGCCGGCTCTGGGTGTTATAGCCTCGTCCACAGCACATGCTGTCACAGTTGCCTTCCCGAGAGCAGGTCCTCCCAGCAGTTCCCAGGGAGTATTTGCTGGGACGACAGAAACTGGGGGAGTCTTCCACATACACCAGGTCAGTAGAGCGGGGCGAAGCAGGGTGCTTGGGGGAATGGCTGTGTCTCTGTGGGCCAGCCAGCTCTGAGTGTCCCACAGCATCATTGGTGGTGCTGAAGACCTTGACGGCGTCATCATAGCGCAGCTTCAGTAGTCGTCCAATCTCATGGAAAGGCGAAAGCTGTTTCCAGCATGTCCGGACAGCACATGAGCCGGAGACACCATGGCACTTGCATGTGGTTTTGAGACCATTTTTCACAGCCTGATGAGGAAGAGAAGTGGTAGTCATTATCTGCCAGGACCATGAGCTTAGTTCTGGGTAGAGGTAACACCTCAGATTGCAGACAGCCTGGAAGTACTTCAGTTTTATTGGTATTATTCCTATTCTATGGAGGAAAATGTAAAAAATAAAACAACCAAACAAACAAAAAAAAACAACAGAGGAATGGCTACAGAGTTGACTGGTGAGCCAGAGAGTAGAAAGCCTGAATGAGGACAAATGGCTGAATACTGAGGCCAGTCAAATTCTTACTTAAGCCTATTTGGAAGGGCAGGAGTAGTCAACCATGAAACTGAGTGTCTCCAGCATGGTGGATTCCCTTTGTTATACTCAAATCAAGAATTGATTCAAAACAGGTAATTGGACTCAGTAAATGGAAAAAGATAAGTCAGCAGCCTGTAACATACAGGCCAAAATGCTTGATCTGATGGGCTCCCTGACCCAAACTTGTGACATGACTAGTTCCATAGCAAATCGCCAGCAGACTCATAATTGATCTCAAGAGTGTCAACCCTTAATCTACTTCACACGTCCCACCAGCTCTGAAGCTCTAGGTGTTCTCAAAACTCCCTGTGGCCGTGGCATAACCCATGGAGTAATCCAGCCAGTGAGTTTTACAGCTGTTACCGTGCTGCATATTGCTGTCACTCAGCCCCTGATACCACTAGAGGATACAGGACGCTGGTCTGCCACTCAGCATGCAACTCCTCACACCAGAGTTCAGGAGACTTTCCAGGGAGCTGTCAGTACCATAAGGTCCACGACATACCAGTAAACAGGTCTGGTTTGTGAGTAGGGCCAGTGAATACCTCTCTCACAAACAGCCTCGGCTGAAGATAGGTTAGAAGATTTGCATTGAGTCCTAACTTCTTTCTAGGCCTGCTGCTGCTGCAGCTCCTCACCTTGATGCCAACATTGGTGTTATGGATGTCCACCTTGGCCCGCAGGTCTTTGCCAATCCTCTTCTGACCCAAGAATTTTTTCAGGAACTTGGTGCTGTATTTGAGGTTGTCTCCACAAACACCCCATTGCCAGGCCTTGCGGTTCTCCAGGTCTGGGGAGTCATCACAGGTGCAGCGCTCCATGCGCCCAGCACTACACGCTCTGGCCAGGGAGTGGGTAAGAGCTGCGGAGGACACCGCATAGAGGAAGGCAGTTTCCTTAAAACCTGCACAGGAGAAGGATTAGGTGAGGGTAGGAGCAGGAGAGGCAAAATAAGGTGTTCATCAACCTCACTGGCTCTCCTGACTGTCCATGAACTAAAACCAAGCACAATACTTAGAAATACAAGGAGACAAAACTCTTCCATTACCTGCACACCATTCCTAGCAGAGAATCTCAATATCATGTTTGAAGTAACTGGTGTAGTAACACCCTAGTCTCACCTGGTGGCTGTGACTGATTCAATATGGAGACAAGAGACCACTCATGAATCAAGGGATGGGTGGCAATAGCCAAACACTCCTGGGAAAATATTCAACTGCAAAAAGCGACAGTCATGAAACTCCATTTGTCCTCATCCTCACCACAGAGCTGATAGGTGTGACTAGAGACTGTCACTGAAATCATGTTGTGGCTTAAAATCAGGAAATATTTAGTAGAGACTGAAAAAATAGTTTAAAAATCTGACCCCTTATTTTAAAATGCTTTTATCTGGGACTGTATTGGCACAGTATAGTAGTATTTCATATGGAAAGATCACAAATAGTGTGACTGGGAAAGGTTCTATGTCGAAGGACATCTTGGGCAAGAAGGACGAACTCTCCTGCATGTGAGTGGATTTTCTGACTTCCCTGTAAATTACCTACTCCCAGTGACTGTGGTGATACTTTCTGAAGCTATTCTCTTTTCTAAGGCAGGCTTCCCAGCTTGACTACGTTTGCCCTGAGGTATGCAACCATGACACACCATGACATCTTAACCAGGAAAGAAAGTACAGTGCCTGAATAGAAATTCAGTCTTAGTACCTGAATAGAAATTCAGTCTGAAGACAAGGAATCAGGCAGGAATGGGCATGTTGATATGGCACCCATGAGCTCCAGAGAAGTTCCAAAAACCACTGATTGACACAAACCTGACCTAAATCCCAAAATATTTTGGTTTGATTATTTCCTTCCTCTCCTATTTAATCCAGGGGGAAATCTTAACATTTCCTCCAGAGTTTATGTGCAGAAATGAAAACTATTAATAGGAAATTGCTTACAAGTCCACAATTTAGGAAGTAGAGCAAGGAAGAGAAAGACAGGTGACTGATCAATAGCTCCGAGTGCAGGAATGGATAAGATTGGCCAAAATAGAAACATTTTGGTTTATGAAAAATAGAACACTTTCACATCGCATAGAAGGAAACACATTGAAGCAAATATTCCACATTGGAAAATGCCAAATTTCCTTCCACATCTGAAGGAAGCATCTGTTTCCCCAAAAAATGGAAGAGAGAGGGAGAACCACAGAGACCTGATCTAGTCTTGCAGTTAGCCCTGCTTTGAGCAGAGATTGGAAGGGACCTCTAGACTTCATCCAGTCCAACCTCAAATCTTTCCATTATTTCGTTCCCTCAAAGAATTCCCATCCAGCTGTAATAATAGATCAGACCACTGACTGCTGAGATCTGGGTGAAGTCACCATAAACCTGACCAGAGAACAGGACAAAGAGTTCTTCTGCATGAAAAATTGACTAGTCATGAACATAATGGAGAGGCTGCATTAGCAACTTCAATATAGACTTCACAGGAGCTTGTTGGAATTCCAGAATTTTAGATGAAAGATGTAGCAACAGTATGGACATGGATGAAAGAGTCAAGAAAATGTGAAGGAGATCAAGGAGATCAATCAACAAACTTCTTCGTACCTCACCATTTTAGTTGCTGTATCACTGAGACAAGTAACTTGCAGCTAAGCTCTCTGGTTGATGATGCTCTATAAAATCTCTCAGGGTACTGGAATAATAATGAAAAAATGTCGCCAGATCCATCAAAAGTTTTGGAAAAGCTGATATGGGACACAGTCAATACAGATTATGGATAGCAACATGATGCTCACACATTTTCAAAAGAAGGATCTAAGTGAGGATAAGATACATTTCAGATCCTAAATCTGAAAAATAATTTCAGTAGCTAATCTCCAGTTGCTTACCAGATTCCCAATATCCTATCTGACATACTGATACCAGGAGGGAGGAGAGCATTTTAGAAACAGTTTCCCATACCATATAAAGCTAGCAGTACCAGTCAGCTCCACATACCCTGCTAAATCTGACTTTGTGGAATACCACACTGCTTCTGCTATTTCTAACCAGTGATGGTTTGGTTTCTTCTGTGGCACTCCACGTAAGTGCTGGCCAGATTTCAGCCCACTTGAAATCAGAGACTGTTGCCTGTGGTCAGGCCACTGCAGACAGCAGTAACTGAAGATAACGAGCATACTTTCCAATCGTGTCCTTCTTCTGCCCCCCTCCCACCTCCTTTTATCACAAAGGTTCAACGTCACCAGGCTGCAAAATGCTTGTCTGAAAAGTCTAAGATGATTCCTTCTACTTTGACATAAGGGACTGACCACCGTTTAATTGTTTAATTCACAAATCACATGACTAAAGGAAAAACTGAATGGTCCTTAAGTCCTTGTGGAATAACAACGAGCAGCTGTTGAAACTGGATTTTCAGTAGGACATAGCACAAATGAGCAGGGATCAGCTCCAACAAACATGATTTGAGAAGATCTAAATGGAGGTTTCTCCATGTGTCCTGGGTATCTATCCTCCCACCATGTCAATGGAGCTCTTGTCACCACAGCCAGTGGAGCCTGGACCAGGCTGTCAGAGTCTGGTTTAGGGATGAGTCAGTCTCCTGACCCCATTACTGAGTTGCCACTGACTATAATGAAATCTTAAACACTGGATGCAAGGGGTAACATCTAAATGCAGGCATCTTGGCATCTCAGTTTGGTAGCAAACATCCAGCACAGAGCTGAATTTCAAGATGTCGAAGCAAGCCGGCTCCCCCTGGTAGGACCTTGCACATGTCCAAGTCTTCCCCTGAGCTCTCTGGAATTACTTCTTAGCTCAGCAGCCTATAAATACAGAAAGACGTTTGCTACACTGGCAAGACACTGTTCTGTGGTGTGGTGTGCTCTAGACCACACGAAAAACTGTAATAGGAGGAGTTTAGCCATGTGGTGATTCTGCCAAAGGCGAGATGCTCAAGGTCAAAGATTTTTCAATGCTACAATAAAAATAGTGTGAGCATTTCAGAGCAAGTGGAAGAGACATCTCCCGGGGGGGGGGGCGCGGAGCCGGGAAACAAACAAAAACCAACCAACCAACCAACCAACCAAAAAAGAGCAGACCAGAAAGCTACAGAAAGATTTGGGATGGAAGGACTTCTCAAGGTCTTTAGTACAACCTCCTCCTGCTGCTGAAAGCAGGGCTAACTCCAATGCCAGATAAAGTTGCTCAGGGCTTTGTCCAACCGAGTTCTCAAAATCTTCGATGATGGAAATTCTACATCTCGGAGCCACCGCTCCTGTGCTGTACCATTCCTAGATTCCTCATGACATCAATGAAACCACTGCTTGAAGGTCACAGAATCTGACCAACATGAAGCAAAGAAATGGACTGATGGAGGGGAGGATTGTAGAGTGCTCATTTCTCAAGAAGGATTTTTCTGAGTGGTGGATCTGAGCTGTCTTTGCTATAGGTATTTATTTTCCCCAAATCACCATGTTGTTTGAGATTAAATAGTGCTTACTTGACCTCCAGCAGCAATTGGCTGCCTTTATGGCACACTTTGGAAACAGAAAGATGATCATTGCTTTACAAGAGTTATATAAAGACACCAACTGCCACTGTGCAAAAAGATAGCTTGAAATGTCTGTCCAGAATAACTTTAAATCTACCTATTTTCATGGATTTTTAAAGAAGTGGTGAAGGAATGCAGAAGGATTTTTCATGGATCGGTGAAGAGTAATAGCCATCATAATTGACTGCAATAGTCATAGAAGGATTGTAGGTTATGCAAAAGGAGTTCCCCAGTTTTATCCAGAGGAGTGTCAATGTAAAACAACAAATGGTGCAGACTGTGAAAATACATCTGGCATTTCAAAAACCAGAAAGCCCTTGGCATTTTTTTTTTGCTTACTAAAAGTGTGTAAATACAGGAAAAAAGATGTTGGCATCTGTAGAAGCAGGAAAAGCATAGGTGATCCCAGTCAGTCACAGAAGATTTTCAGTTGTCACTGCAAATTAAGTGTGGCTTTTCACCTATTACAAAAATGAATCATGTCACTGGGACATGACCTTTTTTCCCTCTTTCACTCGTAAGGCCATTAAAGACAGTTAAAAACTGTGTGTTTTTCTTTACGGTTTCTCTAGGACCATGGCGATACAAACGATTTAATCATTTCTAAAACTCTTCATCACTACTTGGGTGAAAGGAGCATAGTCCATTGCCTGACCAACAATTTCTAAGGCAGCAACAAAACAGCAGTAGGAATATGTGAGAAGCAGATCAAAATTGGCAGCTGAAAGTGTTCGTGTTCTTTGTGAAAGAAGCTAACCTATTTGCAAGTTAAAGGAAAATGAGAACTAATAATTGCTTCCAGCCAACTGTCCTTTCATATAGGAGATGTATATAGCATACTTTTCTGTATTAAATCATCATTTGATCCTTAAGATTGTGTAATAAAAGTTTTCAAACACTTATCCTCATCTGCCAAAACAGGTTTTAAATTACAGGTGATATTTTATTTTGTCAGTCAAGAGTCCATGGAAATGTTGAGGCATGCCACCATGAGATAATTAAATGTTTTCCAGCTATTTGAAGATGAGGATTATTCAATTGTCATTTCAAGTTTTTTGAGGTTGATGAAGGTACAGATGTCAGAAAGTCACTCAAGATGATCACGAACAGCTTCTTCCACAGTATTCTAAGAAATTCACAATAGAGCCTTGCAATGAAGTAAATCTGATCTTGTATGTGCTGGTTTACTAAAATATTGACTTAATATTTACTTTAATGAAATTTGATAATTTTAAATGGAAATGTGAAAAAGTTTCAATCCCAATGCTAATTAAAATTAACATTTTAATTTCATCGAAGTTAATATTGGCTTATTCAGCCCCCTTTTTTACGACATTAACTTACTAAACATTATCAAAGGACTGAAACTCAATAATACTAAAGACTGAAACTCAGTAAATGCTACTAAACGTTTTGTTGAAGGGGTGAAACTCAGTAATAGGCTGGTCTGGCATGTTTGGATGAGAACAGGCTAAGAAAGAGTTTCAGGGTCTATCTTCATTCTATTTTTCTCAAACTCTTTAAAGGATTTATTATGCTCCCTCCTACCTCAAATACAGAACTTACTTACAGAACATTTTCTTCCTCTAAAGCCTTCTGTGAAACAGAAGCCAGTGGCCCTTCTGTCCACTCTGTCTGAACTTCTGCAAAAGCTCAAAATATATGTGAAAAAGTCTTAGGAGATATTTGTAAACATGCACTGAAATGCATTAATGCTGATAAATAGCTTTTTCAAACAGTAAATTAGGAATAAATTCTGTATCTGAGAACAACAGTGATTTACATAGGAAAATATCCAAAGACCTAAAGAGTCTTTTCTTAAAATGTCCCTTGACATAAAGGACTAACCCTTATTTCTCACAGTATCATCCCTGATTGCCAGCCAAGGATGATGGTCAGCCTAGGAAACTCTGGGCTCAGACAAAAATCCAAAAGCCAAGGGTGTGAACTTCCCTCTACTTTTCAATACGTGACAAACCATGCAAGAAAGATGAGGATAAGGCATATTTTGTGGCAGAAGGGCCCAAATTGCACAGCTCCCATTCCTAGGCAAAACAGATGATCTCTGCACTCCCTGGTTACTGCCCCACTTTGCTTAATTTGAGATTCATATTCCAGGGGCTACAGCACCAAGTGAGATTTTATACTGCAAACAAAAGACTACCTTGTACCTCGCTTCAGCAGGCTGGTCCGTCCCTCCAGGCTGCAGTTCCAGCGCTCGCTGCGAAACTGGTACTGGCACTCCATGATCCCAAGCCGGATGGCATCCCGCAAGGTCTCTGCCAAGCCAGGCTCCCTCCGGCAAAGCCTCTTCTGCTTGCGGGACAGCTTCAGCAGGTCACACTGCTTCACGTGGACCTTCCCCTGGGCAGAGTTTGTGGAGGGTCCCAGGGATGGGAAGTGCGTCAGAGCTTCTTTCCCGGTCAAGCTGAAAGAAAGCAGAAAAAGCAGTGAGTTCTGAAAGACAGCAGACATGGAAGAGGTGATCAGAGGGACAGATATTCAGAAAGCTGCTGGTCAGGGTACTTTACCAGCTCAGAAGATTAATCAATACAGATTGATTAGATCTAGTGTCCCATCTCCACCACACACCAAGGCAAGTAGCAGACTGTGGGGAGAAAGAAGAAATGCATGTGTGTTGTCACCAGCAACCTCAGGTGGGAAGTTTTCTTGACTTCATGAAGAGGACGTGTTTACACCCCTGCAGTTTTGTTTCTTTCACAGTACATTCGCCATCACATACAGAGACATTTTACTCAATGGTGCTGCAGGTCACCGTATGTCACAGCGCTGTGCTAACTCCATAAAGTGTTAACCACACCCTTCCAGGGTTTTGTGTGCATTGGTGCCACTAGACATAGCTAGGAAAGACCAACAGGGAGACATTATCAATGACCACCTTTCTAGAGCAAGCATGACTTTTGCTGGAAAACATTTTCTTGCTGAAAAAATAAAGGAAAGGTCAACTAAAAATGTATTGCCAAATGCAATGTGCTTATATGTGATTCAGCTGAAAAATGCCAAAAATTTTTGAGACAAATGGTTTCACTTTTCATGGCAAGACAATCTTTTTCTTGCAAAATTTATCTCCCTTAATATCTTTAGGATGCTTGAAAACACACAGAAATTATTTTACATTGATGCAAGATTTGAGGGCTGCAAACAAACTGAGAAGAGTCATGCATTTGCACAACACCGATCAGGAGTGCCCCTCCTGATTACCAAACAGGTAAGAATCATAGAGTGTATCAACCTCCGCACCCTGAAAAATACCAAAACCAGACAGATAAATGGAAACCTCCTAAACCTTTATATCTGGACGCATCCCAGCCCCAACATTAACATTTGCAAACTACGCCTCCCCTCCTCCAAACCCTGTTGTTTTCTTTGCAAGTCCACAGGTAGTTCAACATGGACAAACAGATGAGCCAGTTGGTTCTTGTTCCTCTCCCCCAGTCAGGCAAACTGGGCTATGCTGCTCCACGAAGTGAGTGTGGGAGTCAGACAAGCAAAGCTGGATAGGGAGGGATGCAATCAGGAGCAATCTCTTAAGCACATCTACAAAGACTATCTGGCTGCTGGCACCCCCACCAGCGGTGCAGTGGCTCTCCACCATCTTCCCTGCACAGCTCAGTGCTTGAGCAAACCAAGCCAGATGGAGATGGACACCAGTTAGTAGGTCGGTACAAAGCCAAACAGGCAATTCCCCACAGCCATGTAGGAAGTGAGATTCTTCACCTCTGCACCATTATCGTGTTCCTTGTAAAAGCATGGCTCTTTCACAGCTAAATTACCTGACCAGGTCTGACTGGTCATGTTTGCAGGTGTTTCCTTCTGCACAGCAAATGCCAGTCTGTGCTGGCAGAGCAGGAAGAGGAAGGTCTGTGCCAGAGAACGTGACAAGTGTCCACATTGTCTACCACACTCCAGTTCACAAGCAAAGAATTTTAACTGATGGAGGTGACCAAGACGAGACTTACCTGGCTCCACAAAAGACAGACATATCTAACACTCAACTGTTCAAGTAAGACCATACTCTTATAAGGGATATCATCTTTATTATGGAGGATACAAGTCAAGCACCGCAGCTGCAATTTTAGTCCTCCACATACTTTATAGACATCTATTTCTGAGCTAGTTGTCTAGATCTCTCTGTAGTCAATCCAGTCTATCCAGGAATGGGAGTTATAGCAGAATTCAGCTGACGCTGACCTAACCCCACAGCACTTCTGTATTCGTTCTCACAGTAGCCCACAACCTCCAGATGCACTCACGTGTCCATAGTTGGGAACAAGTGCAATTAACTAACATGTGGAAATCATCCAGAGACCTGCAGACTACACAAGCATGAAGGAATCATTGTGAATCACACAGCAAGTATTAAACTTTAGAAACCAAATGGGTGAGAAGAATCTCTTAATCCCGTTGTCACTGCTGAACTGGGGGACAGAAACAAGAGATGTTCCAGTGAGAGCCAAGAGATAAACAGGCATTGCTGGAAACAGAGACAGATATCTGGGGCCAGGTTCAGCCCAAGAAACTGGAATTAATACAGCCTGATGAGCTTCAGAGAGCAATTCGGACTGCACGGTTCAAAGCCCTGTTTGGCAGCAAACACTGCACAGAGAGGGCAGGAACAGCTGGTGCACAAGGGACATGGCAGTCCTGAGCTGGAGGAACCATGGTGAGGGACATAAGATTGGCTCAAGTGAATGAGACCAACACATGATGAGCAAGCTTGACTGTTTTGCCTGACTCACTGTGGTGCTTAAAAGCCAATATACATGTTCATTGGAGTTATACTTCCTTGGATGCATAAGCACATGCTCTGCACAAGCTCTGAAGCTCAAGAAGATCAAGATATGCCAACTCCAGCATGGGCAGGGAGGGGCTGAGATGTCAACAAAAGTCTGACTTCTTAGGGATGTCCAGACTGTACCTAACTCACTGGGACAATGCAGGGTTCAGGAAGAGGTGTTGCTCTTACATCAGTTGGGAAGGAAAAACACTCACCCAGAGAGTCAGAGACCTGGACTTTGCCTGGTAGTGGGATCCCAGCACCCACATCCCAAGAAAGTGCACTCGTCAACGAGTTAAATGTGAGATGTGGTTATTCTCCACTTGCCATGCAGTATCCATGTTCCCATGCAGCAAAGTTTCCCAAGTTCACAGCACAGAGAGAAGAAATAAGAAAAAGGGAACTGAGACTGGAAAGAAGAGTTTGAGTCTCATATAACACTGAAATTGCTCACTGCTGGAAAGCCACATATGCAATTTTACTAAACTCCTGTGTACCAAGCTACTGATTGTCCACATACCAACAGAACTACCACCCATGCCAAGCATCCTAACTCCCAAAAATCCCTTCTCAGAACAAAGGCAGCTCCCCTCCTGCCAGTCTCCATCCTCATTTTAGTGTCTTCCATCCCAGCTAAACCGGCATTCATCCCTTGTCAGATATTTTTGAGACAGCAGTAGTAGCTTCACTGACTATTTAGACTAGTCATCTCCTTCCTATGAAAGATACGATCAGCTCTCAGCCCTTCCTTTTCACAGGGGATTCAGAAGCAGCAGCAGCAGCTCTAGTGTAGAGGCTTGATGGCTCTGCTTCCAAGGGAGTCCAACAGTATGACCTCAACTGGGGATAAAACAGAGAATTGCAAAGATAACTGCTCACTTTTTGTTCTTGTCATTATACATGCTTATCCCAAGGGGCTAGGATATTGGCCTAAAATCCATGAATCCTTTCTCATGGGGAAAAGATAAGGTAGACAGTGCTTTAGTCTAGTGGTAAACAGCAAAGCAAGACCCATAGAATGAAAGCGAAAGTCAGAAATTCAGACATTAAGCAGACACAATTTAACTAAGGGCTATTGAGCTCCCCCAGATTTGTCAGGGGCTTTGATGCATTTCCTCAGGTAGCAACAATAAAGTCAAGACTGGGTGCTCTTCTGTAGCTCATTGGATATCAAAGTATTCACATCAGAGTGCTGACTCAGGAAGGAAAATATGGTGCAAAAGATATTGCTTAAAACTGCATGAGTGTAAAACGGAGAAAAGGTGGCAAACGGATCTTTACATTTTTATAAGAGATATGATGATCTACACAGCATAGGAGAGCTGTACCAGGCAAGCTGTTAGAAACTCTGAGAATAGTGTAGAATTAGTGGGCATAGGTTAAATACAGAACAGTGGAGAAGAATCAACACAGCTTCTGTAGGAAGTAGTCATGCCTCATAAACCTACTAGAGGTCTTTGAAGGAGTCATTGAACAGAAAGACCAAGGATAAGCCAGGTGCTACACTCTCCTTGGACTTGTAAAGTTGACAGATTTCCAAAATAGTTTGTGTATGAAGACAAATAGAAAGACTGGATATCTTCCACAATTTCCACTAGGAGAAAAAGGAATACTAGGAGAACACAGGGTTGTAAAATCATGGCTGACGTGCAAGTGAGTAAAGAAAGATTATTCCTACCTCTAATATACAAGAACCAGGGGGAATTATATTAACTTATTAATCAATAGACTAAAAATAAATGAAACGGGGTACAGAGGCTGTAGTTAAACTTGCAGCCCTTCTTAATGCAGGACACTAGGGATGCTAAAGTATACATGCATTCATACAAAACCATGGAAGAAAAATTCATAATTCATTTTAAACACAAAGATGCTTTGACACAGGAAATTCTTGAGGTGCAGACTGTCAGAAGCTGGAGAGTATTCTAACAGAGTATCACTATCTGCTATCCTATTCCTTTTTATGCTTTTCCCTTCATGCTTATTATTACCCATTGTTGAAACCAGGTTGTGAAGCTACATGAACCTCTGATCTGCCCCAGGACAGCTGTTCCTACAATCTTGGACAGGGATTATCTCAAGGATGTCTTATGACCCACCAGTGGCCATTGAGATTTGGGAGAAGGTGGTATTGCCATTCTCCAGACCCTGAAGGATGTTGGATGTTAGCATTTGTGGAAAACTCAAATAGGATAATGACAGGTACCATAAAAACAATCTTTGAAGAATTCAATTCCATTTTCAGAGCAATCTCAATAGTGCATAGCAAATACAGCCTGGGAGCACAGACAGAGCAAAGATACCAAGTCTAATTGATCTCTTACACTATGCAAAGCAAAAGCTTCATGGGAAAAACACTTTCTAAAATTGGATCCAGCAATACTTTAAGTTCTGATAGAGGTAATACATCATCCTACACAAATAGCTGCTTGCACAGGCAAACTTAGTTTTTTTTTTTATTTGTGAATTTCTAGAGTTGCAACACACAAAGTAACTTGGTTTTCCTCTAGAAATGGAGGATGGAAATAGCCAGAAGGAAATAATGTATTGAGGACTAAACAAAATAAGCAGTAAATTGGTTAATCTAAGACATGTGACTAAAGCTACCTGGAACATACCTCTCTGTGAAAGTCTCCCTCATGCAACCTATCACACTCGTTACCTAAGACATGTGAATGTCAGCATGAAAAAATTATGATGCTGTGCTTGGAGGCTTCTGCAGAGATTGGGATTTATTGCATAAGCTTGGTGCACAGACACAGCTCTCAGAACTAGTGTCTCACATAACTTTCAATTTGGATAAGTAGGCAGAGAAATTAAAGGAGTTGCCCAAGGTCATGCCATTGACCAGTGGCACAGCTGGGAGCAGAAGCACTCTCAGAGTCATAACAGACACAGCTAAGACTACCCATATGAGTAGAGGCTTGCAGACTCTGACTATATTAACTATAACCGTGTTTTATTAGGGTAAAACTAACATTTGATCAGATCAAGATCACAGTATGAGAACATTCTTACAAGATTAAATACAAAATATGCAGATATTTGCAGTTAGGCAAACTGCACATCGTTTTTAGATGATTTAGAGTTTATTATCTACAGATCATATGGCAAAAAAAGTAACTCTTTGAATTAATGCACACCTGCTAGCAATCTGAAAGAACAATAAGGACCTCAAACTTTTATTTCTCTCTACTTTTCTGTCTAAGCACTTTGCTAAATTCATCTCTTTCCTTTAATCTCCTTCCAGCCACATTCCAGCTGCTTAAGAGACTTTTAATGAGAGCCTGTTCCTGTGCAATGCCCAATGTCCTCTGGATCTGAAAGGTCTTAAAAACCCCTAAAAATATGCCTTTTCTACCTCTCCCAAGTAAGGAGAAAAATCAAAGGGAGCCACAACAGTGCTCCATATCTGATTTCACGGGCCTTTCATGTTCCACAGAAATATCTACACCCCACAGATAGTTGCAACAAGCATTCAGGAAAGGCTAAGAGAATATGGGACAACGACAGATCAAATCAAGGCCGCTGTGGTGCACAACGGGTCCTCAGCTTTCCTTTCTCTCTGGCACCTCAGTGGATTAGTTTTAATCCTTTCACAACCAACACTATTTAATCCTCAATATTTGTCCCTGGACAAATGGATGGCCAGAAGCAGTGTGGTACCGTCTTGACTAAATGGGATGGTGTCCCATGCTTTGTACCACCCATTGTCTACAGAGAAGGTGGCAGAAAACCCCAAAGCAGCGTCTCAGGTTAAAGTGTTGATCTCAACCTTTTTTTACTTTTCTTCATCAGAGTTGTCATTTCAGACCCTCTGGCAGGTGTTTTTATACCTGTTATCCTCCGGGTTTTCTGTCAAGCTTTTTGCTCTTCACAAAGAAAAAGAGCTTGAATTAAAATCTCAAGTGAGGTTTAAGGGAGGTTTTGAGTTGGAATCCTTGGAAATGGCCTTTTCTGCTTGCTGCAAACCCTTTTTGGGAACAGCATCAGATGATGTGTCCAGATACAGACTCATTTTTTTAAAAAGAATTCTCCACAGGGAACAGCATATAAAAATCTTACATCGGAAGACCTGGCTGTTTTGGGATGAGAGGTATGTGTAACCTGGTGTGAGGATTTAGCTGAGAATCGTTGCAATTAGTGCCGATGCACCAGTTGACTTGGGTCACTCTGCACTGTGTTCTTCATCTTTATGTGCTCTGGGCTCCCACAGTCTGGACATACTTGGTTTAAATCCTTCCACCTCTCAACTCAATCATATGAAATATCTCCATGTAGCTCTTGATTTCAGGGGCAGTGTAGTCCCTGCTGCTGACCATCCAACCCAGGCCAGCAGTCCAGTCAATCATTACATGGGAGATCAGATTTTCAGTCTAACTCTGGACTGGCCACATTCCCTGGGGTGTTCCCTAACCGGAACACTCCACAGGGATGATTTTTT